CAAAAGAAATTTTTTTGGTTTAAACTCTGCACATTTTTATTTTAACGCTTCGGAAAAGCATGAAGACTTTTTGTTAAAACTCCAATAATGACCATAAAAATTATTTTTAAGTTGATAACTTTTAATTTGCCAGAAAGAGGCCAGCTGCTAGAACATTTTAAAATTTTTACTCAAAACATTACTTTAAAAATTAGTCAAATGTTTTTCCAAAATGTTTTTCCAAAAATTTTATTTTTTTATAATCTACAAATTTGACCCTCAGGCTAAGCAAAAAAAAAATAACAAAATTTTTTTCGCTCCACCCTACTGTACATTTCTTTTCTCTTTAATTTTGCAACAACAGCTGTGTTGCACAAAGCGTTGGTAGTTCTGCTCAAATAATAATGAAATAATAAATAATTTTAAAAATTTTCGCAGAGTTATCGAATTGGAATTTGTTAGGTTGCAACATATCAATCTTCTCGGAAATTGCGGGCCTGTGGGCACTACATCAAGCATCTTTATTAATTTTATGGGATGGACTAGTTTTAGCAGATACATATTTTAAGCTATTTTGAAGTCCATTTTTTTCATTTAAAACCTTATTATCGCGGCGGCATTTTTCAGCAGAATTTTCAAACGATTTTCTCTTCTGCCAATCCTATCTTAACATACCCTAAAAGTTTTCCGCATACTGTTACCACTTCTCACAAATAAAACGCAATATATATCTGCCTATGCACACGTATGCTTTACGTTACATAACTTTTATTAATGCCAACTAGTAAGTAATTCCATTGACTTAAGCATAATCGGCCTTCTACGACTGGCCACAATTATTACTATCTACACATATGTGCATTTATACGAGGTTTGTTCAAACGAAAAGGCGAATTTTAAATTGTTTTGATTTTTTTTTTGAATAGTACTTATTTATTGATCAATATCTATTGTGTCCCCTTCAAAGTAATTTCACTCGGATTTAATACACGCTTTTGCCAATCCTCGAAGCACTTCTGAAATGCTCTTGCTTCGATTCTGACTTGATCTCTTCAATCATGGCAAAAAGCTTTCCTTTATTTGCTGTCTTCAGTTTTGGGAATAGAAAAAAGTCGCAGGCAGCCAAATCTGGTGAATACGGTGTTTGCCGATTTATATGCTAACATACCCTGCAACTTCCGTAATAGTTATTCCACGATTTTCAAAAACAATTTTTTTCACTGTTTCGATGTTTTCTGCGCTTGTTGACATGGTCGCACCTTCAGGCTACTCATCGTCATCAACATCTTCATCGACCTTCTGTAAAGCGCTTGTACCACTTATAAACACTTTTTTGAGACAAAGTGAATTCACCGAATGCCACAGTCAACATTTCAAGTGTCTTGGAGCACTTTATTCCATTTTTAATGCAAAACTTAATACATATGCTTTGTTCCATTTCTTTCAAAAGTCAAAAATCGAAGAGCACACAAAAACGTGACTAATCTTTTCTGTTGTCAAAAACAAACTACTAATCGAAATTGGCAAGCACATGATAAGTGTATGTATCCGTTAACAAAAACAAAATATCGATGATCGAATGTACGCAGCGCGAGAAAAAACAAAATTCAGCTTTTTTTTGAACACACCTCGTATGTACACGGGTATATATGTGCAGGCATGTGTGTGTGTGTCGCTGCCTTCCAGTAACAGAGCCCACAGCAGCATTCCAACAGCACTAAACCGCTTAATGTGGCGTCATGACAACAACTATCACACCGCAGCAAACAAGCTAAATCATAAAAATCGCTTGTGGTACAACAACAAGCCGATTAATTTGCAATTCGATAACATTTGCATATAGCGCGAGCTTCCGCATTGTTTGCCGCCGAGCCAAAGCAGGAATGAGCGCGTACAGTTGTCGTAATGAGGCATTAAAAATGTGGCAAGTAATCGAAGCGGCGCTAATAAGCCGCAAATCGCTTAAGTGCGCAAAGCAAAAGCAATTGGAACGTGCAATGGCGCGTCAAAACTGCTGCACCCGTCCACAATGCCAACAACCGTTGTCTGTGTGTCGTATGCTGGTTGTTGGCTGATAGGAGTAACGCGGCAGTGTGCTTGCAGATGAGCAGCATTTGAGGCAGGTGTGCAAACACTAAGCGTTAAGCTCATTGCACAGCTATTTACCGGCACTGCGCGCTTCCTACAGCTCATGCGTTTGTAGTAATTTCGTTGCGACTCGTATATTCCGCGCCAAACCCCGCTAATGTGCTTCGTTGAGCCGTTTGCTATTTGGCAACAACTGAAATTAATTCACAACGCAATCGAGCAGGCAACATAACGGCAATTACTTAACTCTTGGTGTGCGCTTTGAAAATGGGGAAATGAGCGCACGCGCCGCACTGCCGGCGGTAATGTGAGACGCGCGTGCTAATATAATGGCGGGAGTGCGGCGTTGATGGTGTCAGTTTGCTGCAAACGATGCAGTGATGTTGCCAACTAATTTGGCAAACTAACAACCGTGTTGCAACATTCAAACAGGCGTATCGATTTGCAACACTTGACACCTAACGGCAGTGTCCGCCCGCCCATCCGCCAACCAACGAAACGTTATGCCAGTGCCAAAACGGTGCAAAGCGTTGGCGCCTGCAGCTCAAGCTGAAGTTGTTGCCATTTCGTTACATTGGTTGGTTGTGTGTGTGTGTGTGCTGTTGCCACGACGGTGTGTGCTTGTGGCGGGAAATGTAAATTGTGTTAGCAGCATTCAAGTTTACCTGTTGGCAGCGGCGCCAGCAACAGCAGTTGCACGTCGCCAATGGCACTGACAATGACAGCAATTGCGGCAGCGAAGGTATGTAGTGCAAGTCGATTGCGAAGTGTAAGTCGAAAGCGGATGCAACGAAGTTGCACACACTGCCAATGAGCTAACGGTATGAAGACATCGCTTATTATGTGTGAGCGTGTGGTGTATGTGTCTGCGCAGTTTGGAAGTTGTTACATTTAAGCAGTTACTTTGGAGCGCTGATGTGGCAGCAATTGTTTACTGCGACAATGTCAATGATGACAACGATGATGCGATTGGCGTTGAAGACAAGCTTGTTGCTGTATTCGCATTGTTGGCAGCAGCGTCTCATAACAGTGAAGTCAATTTGCTAAAAAGGCAAAATAAATGCAATTATTGAAGTAATAAGAGACTACTCTACTACTAGACATATTAGTGGTATATATGTTTATGCTAGGTTTAAACGAAAGTTAGAAAAATATAATTTTGTGGCATATTGCTTAAAACAGCTGCTCAAACACTTTCTCTAGAAAACAGAAATCAAAACCCGACGTTACAATGACGCTTACACCGACCAATGAAGACAGCATTTATATTTATTGTATAATATGTTTCAGCTTAGTTATTAGGGTGGAGCGAGAAAATTTTTTTTTTTTGCTTAGCCTGAGGGTAAAATTTGTAGATTATAAAAAGAGAAAATTTTTGTAAAAAAAAATTTTTTTTTAACATCTAGAGGCGACTCACCCACTTTTAAAGAAAATTTCGAGTTTTTTTTTTTAACACTAGAACTGCGAACCCGTCAAAATTTTGACCGGTTGCATCATTTATTTATACCATTTCCTCTTTATTTCTATATAATATTTTACGATAATTTCATGGTTTTTATTAAATTTGTGTATAGAATAGTTTTATAGATTATTTAGTTCTTACGCTTCTAATTTTCAGAGAGAGAGACCTATTTGAAATAGGTATATGGTAAATCTTCGTAGTTCTAGTGTTAAATTCATTCATTGACTCAAAATTTATTTTAACGCTTAAGAAAAGTATGTTGTCGTTTAAGACTTGTTTTTAAAACTCCAATGATGACCACAAAAAATTTTTTTAAATGGCTAGAAAGAGGACTCTCCACAGCTTCGAGAACAGTTATTAAATTTTTTTTACAAAATAAAAATTTTAACTCGAAATTTACTTTAAAAGTGAGTGGGCATCTAGATACTAAAAAACAATTTATTTCTCCAAAAATTTATTTGTTTTACAATCTATAAATTTTACCCTCAGGCTAAGCGAAAAAAAATTTACCGCTACCATTCCTGCCGCAGTATCTCTCGCAGCTGTGCGCTGTTATGAAATGTTGACGAACTGTAATGAAGCATTTTACTGCTATTAGAATGTAGCAAATTAGCTCGCTGCCTTTGCACGCCAATAGGCTACCACCAGCGCCCGCTTTGTCTTGCCGTTGCCGCGTGTTGAGTTGCTGTAATTGAATTTACATTTTTGAGCATAACGGCGTTGACGCCCTTAATGCATTGTTGCGGCCGCTTTTGTCGATGGCAATTGCTACAGTGCCAGCTCGCTGCTGTGTGACTGTTTTTCGTCCGCTCCTCCTGCGCTTAAACTTTGCTTTGCGCGTTGTTACAGCACTTTTTACATATTTTATGCAGATCAGTCGCCGCTATCGCGCATAAATTTGCATCGTAACGCGACACTCTCCATGTAGTTGCCACATACATAAATATGTATTACTGATAAAAGGAAATAATCATATACGCGTGCGCTATAAATATACATATTTACAAGTGCATTTGTATGTGTGAATGTAATTTATGGCGAAATTGGCAGATAAAGATGCCACTCTGTTATGTCATACCATTTATAGCGCTGTGGCATGTATTTCAGTACTCAAATATTCAAAGACATACACAGTTATATATGTATGTATGTGTGATAGTTTGACATGGCGAAATTTACGCAAATTGCACTGGTGTTCTACATATATAGCAGGTCTTTTTTCGTACTTTATGCTCGCCTCTTTGAATATATGTTTTTTGTATGTGCGTGTATTCGCAAATTCGCATTAAATTTACAATTGTTTTGTTGCCTTTGCTTACTGCAATGATTGGCAATACACAAATGTACTCATTTTTTAACTCAACATAATATACAATATTAAAGCGATAATTTTCATTTTTTTTTCATTTTGCGCGTTTTATTCATACAAAACACGCTCAGTTAAAATTAAGTACTTCCTTTTATCTTTTAGTGAAATTTCTGCGCGAGGTGACACCATACTTCCGAAAAGCCAGTATTATCTCCGAAGTGGGCTGGGAATTGCAGCGCGCCTTTCTGTGTCCGCTGGGGCCCGGGGCGCCCACATCGCCGCCAGCGCCGAAGATAACACCGCGCGCCGATACGCGTTACATACCGTTGCAGTTGACACATTTGGCGCGCAATTTGAAATACATCGATCCCGGTGAGTACAATGAAACAATTAATCAATATTTTTCTATAATATAAGGCTATGCGCCTTAAAGCATGCCTACCGAGTAAGTTCGGCATGTTTTAGTTTTTCTCCTGCAAGCATTTGCTAATTTTTCGCTAAAGCAAAATATATTACATTTTTACTATGATATGTGGATATGCAAATAAATGCTTGCATAAATCAGCTTGCTGCTCACTCAGCTGGCAACAAAACCAGCGCGCATTGTCGACCTAAAATCTCTAAAATCCAACTACCCACACGCATACACTCACATCCGTCGCCCGTGAAACTTGGTTGTTGCCCACGACAGCAACAATACCAACAGCTGCAGAACCAACAACGTGTGCTGCAAGTGTGCGCAGCTCGTCATTTGCATGCGGCAGCCAGCAGTTGCACGCAACGTTAATGGCAACATCAGCAAATGCGATGAATTGCAGCAAACTGCTGGCGCAAAATACACACTCAAAGACAGTGATCTGCTGACAATGAGCGCCAGCCCTTACCGTCAGCCTGCGGCATAGTCTCATTACTCGCTGCTGAGGCTGGCTATGGAGGTGATGGCGGCAGCTACGACTTTGCCCCGCTTGTCATTATTGCCGTTGCTGCTAGCATTTGTGGCAATAGTTATTGTTATCATTGCGCTACACACACACACACACACACATTCAAACATGCATACTTGCACACTCTTAATCACTTGCGTCCTACTTGTGTATATCTTTTGCCTTATCGCCTTAGTCCACGTTGTCCCGCACCGACGTTGTTCTTCGTTTGCGTGTTCGCTTTTATGCCGGCGACTTTTGTGTCGCTTCACAATGCCTGCATATACAAACGCACATCGCCGGCGCTTGCAACGTCTTTGCGCCACAACACGACTTGACGGCATTTAACCCACCCCCCGCCTGCGCTGTACTGTATAAAACTCAGCGCCCTCACTCTTTTTGCGTTGCATTGAGTTCAGGGTTTTTGTGGTTAATCTTTCCGCCACGTTGATTTAATGCAACGTCGACGCTCGGGACCGGCAAACGCCTCCGTTGCAATTGTTTAAGCTGATGATGTTGCTGACGTTGTTGTATTTGTTGTCAATACTATTGTTTAATCACTAGGAAAAGTACTAACGGCGTCATTGTTATTGTTATATTTGCTGTGCGCACTGCTCTCATAGCCGCAAATCCGACGCCAGAGAGCGCGGCAAAGCGAAGCAACGAGAAATAATGGCCACGTTACGGTTGGGATGGGATGGGAGATAGCAGCAAGTGGCAAATGAGTGTGTTGCAAGTGTTGCAGTAATTGTAATGTCTTATTTGTTGCTATTTTCCTTTCTTTAATCCGCCGTTATTGTACATAACAACAAAGCGCTGCTTTCACTGTGCTCCCCCCCACCCCCATACACAGTATCACTGCTGGTGAATGACAGGCGGCGTTGGTTTTTCTATACGTTTTTCTGCTTCCACTGTTCTACACATTTCGAGCGTTCTGTATTTAATATGCATTACTTTCAATATAGATATTTAAACTGCACAGGATCATGCTATCCAAAATTGCAATAATTTTTGAGATAGCGTGAGTAAGCGCAAAGTTTTATCAACTCTCTGCCAGCGTTAATTTTAGTGTGTGTATAAAAATCGCAAATATTTGTATTGAAACACAGCTCCCCAGCGCAGCGCTCTGATTTATTGTAAAAACTATATTCTATATATTCAATATGTTGTTTCTTTATACGCGCAATAGAATCACATATATAAATATATAAATTAAATAATATTCTTTTCGTGCAATTCTTATCGCTGAGCGCAGCAAAATTTGTTAACGCAGCGCTCATTGTTGGCGTGTCTCAGTGCATTTTTGTTGTTACGTAGGTTGCTTTTTATATTTCGGGATTTGGCAACCCTATTGTTGCAATCTGGCAACTCACAACTTTATCGTAAAATTTGACATTTTTGATGTTATACATACTCAGCACGTTTTGACATACGAGCGCTATTTGTGTTGTTTACAGTAACTTAAAATATTCATCCCGGTCAAAATATGAAATTAAATCGCGCACATTTTCGCACGATTATTTTTTACAACTTTCGATGTGAGTTTACTTATCAACAGTACATCGTTGAACTTAGGTAAATTTTTGGCGCTGAAACTACATTAAAGATACTAGAACACTAGTTCATCGATGGTATTAAATTCAATCGGGGTCGTTGAACACTCCAATTTGAATTTTGTGAAGGTTGACCAAAATCAGTTGTTGTTCAGGAAACTATTGCGGCTGTACTCAAACTGATATTGCAAGATCGTCATATGACCTATCGTGATGTATCGAGTAAAAAATAAACTAAACGGTCAACGTTTTTCGACACCTGAAGCCTGAATTTGATGCGTTCAGAACGCATGTTTTGGAGGTACCACAATCAGTGTGGCAAAAGTTCTAGGACAATAGGTTCAAACGCATGCAAAAGCGTATAGAACTTAATGGAGCATATTTTAAAAAACAATAAAACGATTTTCGATGATTAAAATTTGTTTTTTTTTTTGTAATCCCGAAATATATAAGGCAACCCTCATATTGTTGGGCATATCTTTGTTAGCTGCGCTGCCACATGGAAATCCGCGTATTTGTCGAAATTGTTTCATATCAGGTGTCGGCATTTGGCGGCAAAAACCGCCAACCCGCGAAAGCAGTGAACCAACTAAACGTAACAAACAAATGTGCAGTGATTTATTGTTTGCGGAAAATGCATTTGTGTTTGCATACAACTGCATGCGCATACATAACGACAATCCAATATGTGGCAGACAATGTAGAGTTCAAAATTATTTTTGCTCTTCTCAGTTGCAAATAAAATAGCGGTTGGCAATACAAGCGAGTGGCTAGAAAGCCAAAACTTTCCAATAAAGCTGCGCAAATTCAGCTACAAAACAACAACAATAGAGCAAACAATGCAACAACAAAGTGCACAGTACAGCGATATATATAACTTTTATCTATTTGCCGTAATTTTTTTTTATAATTAGCTGCAAAAATTATGCTGTCACAGAGTTTAAATTTGTTTTTTTTTCGCTCTGCAGCTCAGTTGAATTCAGTCAAATCGCATATAGCAACACATTGTGTCGCTAAGCATTCTGTATATTGCCTTATTGATCAGCAGCTAGATCATATATTATGGCTGCTGTAGGCTGTGAAATAAATGATATGCTGCGGTAAAACACCAAACTTGTCTTACAACCTTTTTTAATTCAAAGTCAACCCACAACAATTAGGTTGAAAATCTTTTCAACATATACATACAACTGTGAACACTGGCCCGACACATTGAAAGCGTACTTGCAACAAGATTTCTTCCATCGCTCCCTATTTTTTATCACATCAGTGTAGCTTTAAGCGACCACAGGTAGGGAGAGGCTAAGCGCGCCACACCCAGAAGCAATCTCGACTGCCTAAAGACCAATTGCAACCACAATATCTAATTGCGCCGAAAAGTAGCAGCAACTTTCAGCTGAGGTGTGTAAAAAGGCGATTGTTTTAATTGCCAACAACAAAAAAAAAATATATTTGAAAGTATCTGTTTGCAAAGCTGAGTGCACATATACTCGTTTATATGCACATTAGAGCAGGTTGATGTACATGGAGTCAAAAAAGAACAAGTAAGGAAGGGCTAAGTTCGCATGTAACCGAACATTTTATACTCTCGCATAGTCAAATGGTATACTCGTTTGAGATTTCTTTGTGGATTGACTGATATTTTCGGTAGAAGGTCAACTATAGGCAATGGGGTCCATATATTTAGTACTTAGGGGTTTCAACAGTTTTGGTTCGATTTAGACAATTTTTGGCCACAAGGTGGCATACTTTAATTGCATTATTCACGCAAAGTTTTACCCCGATATAATCATTGTTACCTGATTTGCATAGTGGAAAGTGAAAGAATCAGATGGAATTGAAAATGGTGTTACATGGGAAGTAAGCGTGATTGTAGTCCGATTACGCCCATTTTCGCACTATGACATAGAAACATGAAAAGAACGTTATGCACCGAATTTGGTTGAAATCGGTTGAGCAGATCTCAAGATATGGGTTTTCACCTAAAAGTGGGCTGTGCCACGCCCACTGACTAATTTTGAACGCGGTTCCTATAAAGCCAATTTATACCATCTCAGAGATAAAATTTAATGTCTCTGGCATGTTTAGTGCTTGATTTATCGCGCTTTTAGTAGTTTTTAACAGTATCGTTATATGGGGAGTGGGCGGAGTTGCCACCCGATTTCAACTATTTTCACACCGTCAATAGAAGTGCTAAAAACATTTGCTTCTAGTGAATTTTGTTATTATAGCATGGGCGGTTTAGGAGATATGCACATTAAACCTATTAGAGGCGGGACCACGCCCACTTTTAAAAAAAAGTTTTAGCTGCAGATGCCCCTCCCTAATGTAATCCTGTGTACCAAATAACAGTATTGTATCTTATTGCGGAGCTTAGTTATGGCAAGTTATTTGTTTTTGATTAATGGCGTGGCAGTGGTCCGATTACGCCCATCTGCAATACCAACCGTCTCACGGTACAAAGAAACATGTCTACCAAGTTTCATAAAGATATCTCAATTTTTACTCAAGTTAGAGCTTGCACGGACGGACGGACGGACGGACGGACAGACAGTCACCCGGATTTCAACTCGTCTCTTCATCCTGATCATTTATATATATATAATCCTATATCTAACTCGATTAGTTTTAGGTGATACAAACAACCGTTAGGTGAACAAAACTATTATACTCTGTAGCAACAGGTTGCGAGAGTATAAAAACAAAAAAGAAAAAATACATATGTATATACTGTAATATATATCTTCCATACAACCGATTATTCAGTTTTTTTCAACTTCGTCTTAAAAATCGCTGGTTCGAAACCGGTTTTAGACTCATAGTCTCTTTGGCAAAGTTGTGCAGAATAATTCGTAGAGAAGCTATAATACCCTTCACAACACTTGATTCGGATCAT